TACAGGAGTGGAGACAGGATTCTGTACAGGCAGGTCAGCAACACACTGACAAAGGAGATCAGAGTATCAAAGAAGAGCTATTCCAAAATGCTGCAAAACTAGTTTTCAGCCAACAATCCCTCATCTGTGAAGAGAAGCCTGAAAAACATTACTGGCTACAGGAACAGGACAGGAAGCAGCAGGTGAGGCTGGAGAAAACCACATCAGCACAGGTGCCCCCCACGGATGTGTGCTCTCCCTGCTGCTGTTCTCCCTCCACACAAACAACTGCACATCAGGGGACCCCTTTGTTCTCAGATGACACAATTGTCATTGGTCTCATCCGAGATGCTGAGAAGTTGGCCAGGGGGTTAGCAGCTGGTCCTGTGGTGTGGTTGTAACAACCTGAAGCTGAACAGTGGAGATGACAGTGGACTTAGGAAGAGCCCCCCCCCCCCAGCAACCAAACAGGACAAGTACAGACTTCAGCGGACAGTCAGGACTGCAGAAAAGGTCATTGGTGTGAGCCTGCCCTCCATGGAGGACCTGTACACCTCACGGGTCAAAAGGAGGGCAGAGATTATTTCTGCAGACCCCTCACATCTGGACACAAACAGTTTGAAGTCCTCCCCTCTAGACAGCATTACAGGTCACTGTGCACCAAAACAACCAGACACAAGGACAGTTTCTTCCCCCAGGCCATCACATTGATGAACACCTAACCCATGACTGCAACCCTCAGTGCAGTAACTTGTAAATATACTTTTATCTATATCTCTCTGAAAAACTGCATATAAACTGTCTGTATATAATTTTTTCTATATTATAAATACTTTTATTTTCCTAATGCACATTCCTTTTTCTTGTTTATACTTTTTTGTTCTCTGTCTTGTTTACTTGTTTATTTGTTGCTTTACAGAAGAGCATTGTATGTGCACATTGAGACCCACTGTACCAGAGTAAAGTTCCTCATGCATCCAACACACGTGGCCAATAAAGCTCATGCTGATTCTGGGTGCTCCAGCAGACCACAATCAGTTTCACCACATGTGCAAAGATTACAATATGATTTTATTGTATTTTAAAATTGGTGAATCATATGGTTACATGCGAGACCCACGAATAATTCATGAACTTGATGCAGCTGTGAGTAAAGTGCACTGTATAACTGCTGCTGGTTAAAGAACCAGAACCTGTAATGCTGTCTAGAGGGGAGGACTTCAAACTGTTTGTGTCCAGATGTGAGGGGTCTGCAGTGATCCTCTCCACCCTCCTTTTGACCCATGAGGTGTACAGGTCCTCCATGGAGGGCAGGCTAACACCAATTACCTTTTCTGCAGTCTTGACTGTCCACTGAAGTCTGTACTTGTCCTGTTTGGTTGCTGAGCCAAACCAGACAGTGATGGAGGAGCAGAGAACAGACTTGATGATTCCTCTGTAGAACTGTATCAGCAGCTCCTGGGGCAGGT